AAAAACGGGACACGTCAAAGATTACATTTTTTAAATGGAACACCCTGTATATTTTTAAACATATAGATTTCTGAGAAAATTCTATATATGGCAATATAAACAGTTTAACATTTTAGTGCGGGTTTGCCAAATTATGTAGAAAATTCTTCGAATTTTGGAAAAAACATGACCTCGAAGAAGTTGTATTAACTTTCAGCTACTAACACTGTGAGCAAAAATATTATATATATAAGAGCTAATATAAAGACTCTTATATTAGCTCTTATATTATACAGGACAGTTGTTTTTATAATTCGATCATTTTAGAAAGTTCAAACTTGATTTTCTTAAATTTTTCAAATGGAACACTGTATTTTATTGTTCTATTTTATTCACATATCAGTCCACTTCAACTTTTATTAAATATGTTCTACAACTAAAGTTGTTAGTTTTTAAGATATACCCAGCAACATTTCTGGAAAAAACTAGTTTTTATTATTTTCGGTTGCATGAAATGGCTTTGGAAAAAACTGTCACATTGTGTTAACTTGTCAGTTCATAGTTTTTCATTTCATTTCGAGTTAATTTTATAAAATAATAAAAATTAAGTTTTTTCAGAAATGTTAAAAACTAACAATTTTTAGACATGCTTAATAAAAGTTGAAGTGGACCGATATGTGAATAAAATACAGGATGTTCCATTTGAAAAATTTTAGAAAATCAAGTTTAAACTTTCTAAAAATGATTGAATTATAAAAAATGCCCTGTATAAAATATCGATATTAGCTAATATAGAAGCCTTTGTCTAACATTTGCCTATAACTCTGTCAATTATTTTGTTCCAAGTGTTAGTAGCTGAAAGTTAATATTTCTTCGAGGTCAAGTTTTTTTCCAAAATTCGAAGAATTTTCTACATAATTTGGCAACCCCGCACTAAAATGATAAACTGTTTATATTGCCATATATAGAATTTTCTCGGAAATTCATATGTTTAAAAATATTTCCATGTTCCATTTAAAAAATGTAATCTTTGGCATATCCCAATTTTAATCATCACCCTGTATGTTTCAAATTAATTTTGTAGTTTAGGTTTCTTGATTCTGTACAACTTTTATATAAACTTTTTTCTGTATTATGGGTAACAAGGGAATTATTTTACTTTCTCACACTACACACCCTGTAAATTAGTACCGTCTGCAAGACCTCAAGGAGTTATAAATTCCATTTCAGAGTATCTTCTGAAAAAAGGAACTGGCATTGTTCTTTTCCAGAAGATGTAACGATTGACAGTTGCCACGGAACAATGCAAATTTAACTATGCAACTAATTAAATAATTTAAACTAAATTTATGCTATTTTTGCGTTAGGAAGGGCCAATATTTAACGTTTATAGAAGATTGAAACTATAAAAACGTCGTTTATGTATGACATTCGAGTAAAACCATAATTTACAGTAGTTATACGTGTCCATGTCTATTTATTGATGCATTAGCAGATTGTCACATGTTCTGAATTATTACCATGTTATTGATTATGAGTATTATGACATTCAGAAGTTGATATAATTCCAATATTGTTCGAGTATTTGTAATAATTTATAACTTATGACCTTTGAAGCTAATTCTTAATCACAAGTTACAATGATGATTTCTTTTTATCATTATATTATTTAAAAAAAAATCTTTTCGTTATCATGCATATCAAAATCATACAGGGTGTAACAGTAATGTTGCGACAAACGTTCAGGGCTCTCAGTAAACTTTTTTCAGAATGCAATAAGACCTTTTTTCTGTCTTGACTACTGATCATCTATTTTGCTAGAATAAGGCCAATGGTAATGTGGTAAAACAATTTTCATATAAAATAACTGGACACCACCATATTATAAAATAGAAAAAGGACCACCCACCATATTATAAAATAAAAATTATCTCAGTTTTTCGAGCCAGCATCGAACATAATGGTTAAATCAACTAAAGAAAAAGAAGAGTAGAGTGCTAGAAAATGATCCAACATAAAACAGTTTGATGTTGAAAATAGTTAATTATATTTTTATTATTTGGAAGATAAGTAACAACAAATTTAATATTTTGAGATACAAATGTATAATTTTCTACAAAATCTCACACTTATTCTGCAGGGTGTTTTCCAAAGGAGTGGCACAAATGGTACGAGAGAAGCTGCAGCTAAAAGGAACATGTTTTGCATACAAAAATGATCTTAGTAAAACGTTCAACACTTGGGAGATACAACCCCTTAAGGTATCTAAAAATGATATGGAAAAAATGCACAATTCTCACTTTACACAAATTTTCTACAGATGCACATTCAACTTTTTAACAATTCTTCAAAAAATTTTTGCCTCTTGGAGGGGATTGATTAACGTTTTCAAAATTACTTATCCGACAGTTTGGTGTATTTTAAGTGCCCTCCATCTTGTTGCTGACAATACCCTAATCATAAAAATCATTCCGAACTTTCGTTACACTGATGGGGTAAGATCGGGTGATCTTGCTGTCCACTCAATTGGGCCCCTTCTTCCAATCCACCTATCCGGAAACACTTCGTGATAAATCCGTACAGTTGAGCAAAATGTGGTGGTGTCCCGTCTTATTGAAACCATATTCGTTAGTCAAATAAATCGGGATACAAATTATTGAGGAATAAAACCGCTAAAGTAGGAACCAGTTCATCTTAGTGCATAATTAGGTATGTTTGTCCGGTTACAATTTTATTGAAAAATTTTTCAAATTTCATTTCGATACGATGCGTCTCGGTTAAATAGGGCATTTTCTTATTTTTGATTTTTAATTTAGATACACATTGAAATGCAAACAACTACTAACAAATCAATCACATTCAGTTCAAATTGGCCAAAAATCTATCGAGCAGATGATAAGGTATGGAATTGTTATTGTGCCTTATCATATAGGTATACATTAAAGAAGTTTTAGTAAACATTTCCTTATTTAATTTTTTCCGACACATTGCTTATAATCCAGTACCAGGTGAATTTACCTGGAAAACTGTGCGGAAGTTTTGATATTTGATGATTATATGTATTTTGAACTGTTCTTTTCAATTTTTATTTTTTTGCACCCTCGTATCTTTGCCACTGGCGCCACTCTATTCAAAGAAAAAAGTGACTTGAAACCAATTTTTGTATATATCTTAGTTCTGGTTGATTTTACAACAAAAATTATTCTGTTTTAAATTAAACTACATAATTTTCTCTACAAAATAGGTCTCTATCATTTTTTTATAAAAGTAACTGTTTTCACGTACAAGAATTACAAAGTTTACCAAGTTCTTAACGTGTAAAACAATACGCATTTGTGTTAAGCCTACCGCTCGGATGCAACAGTTGACGACGTCGTCTTTTTTCAATCAGGGCAAGCTAAAATTTCTTAATGTGTTGCAAAAAACCATAATCTTCAGGAAGTTATAAAAGCATTTAAAGAAAAAGATGCTGACAAAGAAAGTGTAGCTAAAGCTGGAGAATACTTTTTTCTCGGACTTTGCGGCTATAATAAAAAGGAATTTATACACTAAACACTTATAGGCTTTATAAAATCAGCATACACGAATAAACTTAATATCGCTTCAATGCCTTCTACAGAAGCAGCAGCTAGACAATATTCGTTTCGAACGTATCATCAGGTACAGCAATGGATTGGTAATGAAAAACCTGCAGATCAATGGGGATGGAAGAAAAACAAAAATGGTCTTGTCCCTCTGACTACATTCTAAGCCCCTACTCCAGAAGTTCTTCTTAAACTAATTTCCTGTAAAAGCAAGGAAGGGTGTGAAATGAAAGATATTGATGACGATGAAGACACTGATATGATCAGAACCACTGTGTAATGAAATCGATACAGAAAGTAGAGAAGAAACTACTGCGCTAGAAGAATTGATTTCATACGACTCTGAGACTTCGTTACCTGCAACTATCAAAAACATCGATAAAACTGGTCCCTCAGGGATATAAAGGCGCAAGAAGTTATTGGAAATTTCATTTATCAATTGATGTTGGATTAGGCCTACTGGGAAAACCACAGAAAAAACGCGCCATATACTCTGGTAGTGTGGACTTTTCACTGCACGTTAAATGGTGACCTTTAGTTTCCTATTCAAAACGGGTCGGTTTCATGAAAAAAGTGGTTAGAATCTATTTTGTAGAAAATTTCCTGGACATTAATTTGTTACATAATATTTTTGCTGTCAAAGCGACGAGTAACGAAATCTTAAGAAATCTCTTTTGTTTCTAATTTATTTCAATATGGCTGCGCCGGCTGCAAAGATGAAAATATGTAAAATCACAGAATGTTAAAACTTCCGCAAAATTTTCCAACTAAAGGTAATTTACAGCACATAATTACTGGACTATTATAAAAAGTAACAAAAAAATAAATAATTGTATTTGCAATTGAAAACCTTTAAAGTAAAAAATTAATCAACCTACCCTTCCATTTTAAAACAAAGTTGCTGCAACTCCTCACGTAATACCTCTTTGAAAATTGACATGTTTCAGGAATTTTGCGACAAACCTTTATTTATTAAGTTACAGAATTTGTTCCAGTTAAAATTTCCACTCTGTATACTTACATATATCTGAATATTCAATTTTTGCCAAACAAAAAATAACTTAGTAGTCGATGGCTTTGTCAACCTCCCTCCTACCAGTCCTACCCCCTCAAATTTCATAGAAAGATTATTAGGGGCTTTCCTTAGAAATGTCTGCGCTTCCTTTCATAGACAGTGTCAGTTTGCTGTTACTTTTCGAAATAACCTTGTATTAAAATATTTCTCCAACATTGTGTCGCTGTACTTTCTCCAACTAATTTAACGTCGTCCGTATCCAGAACTAATCGTCGCTGTGCTTCTCTGTCCAACTACAAACACACCGATTCGGAAATAATTGGTGGATGTGAATTCAAATATAGCGAAATCCGCCGTGCCAGGAGGTTCGACGATCCCAACTGCAGCAGGAGAGATCTAGCAGGCGCGCGCGCGTCGTTCCCGTCAGTCGCTCGCGTGGTTCCTGCTCGTGTGGTACAGCCCGGGCCAGAGCTCAGAGCAGGCTGTGTCTCTCAAAATGTACCTCTTTTGTTAGATACCTAGGTCCTTAGAAAGGAACATTTTCGCCGGTTGGTCCGCTGATCCTTTCTCGGACTCTCACTGAACTGAGCCGTAGTTTGAGGATCGGCCTGTGTGCTGTGATTAGAACATGACGTTTATGTCCAAGTGCCAGAAGAGCAAAGTGAATCTACCCCAATTAGAGACTGGCAATACCAAACAGGCATGGTATGTTAAAATGTAGGTGTCGACGACTTTGTGTTTAGATGTTGTAATTTGTGTTATATAAGTAAGATCTCTATTGTGGATAAATTAAAAAGTTTTGCACAAAACGTGACACGATAAACTTTCATTTCTGTTGTCTGTTGCATGATTTGTAAGCATTTCGCGTTGCTATATTTGAGGAATAAGCATACTTATAAAATATTACAGTTGGAGGTAATTGCGTTTAATAGAACCCAAAACCAGTTAATTGAAAAAGTTTGTGAACTAAGTAGGTGCTGCTACTCGAGGTCGAAGTATTTCTGAATTTTGTAATACAGTTACTATCAAAGGTTATTTTTTTAATTAAAATTAAATGCGGTTATAATCATCATAATTATATTTAATAGTTTCTTTCAAAACAAGTATTACTGCACACAACCGCATCCCAATTCTATTTGTAAAAGTGTAAAATATTATATACAGCCTGTATGTATTTGTATTAACAGCCCTTTAAATACAAGTAGGCTGGCGGAATCAAGTGGGACTATTTTTTTATGGGCAGGGTCCTGAAAGATTATCATTTGGTAGCTACTAGCTACTGCAACAAACGCATGGTCTGCTATTATATGTGTGCATTTCTCTGAAATACAAGTTGTGGATTTTTTTATTGAAAAAAATAATACTGTACATTGTAAATCACTCAACTTCACGCAATTTTACTCAATAATGTATCAATTTTACGAGTGAAACTATTGCAACAGAAGTGAGTGAATTTTACTCAAATACGAGTTTATGCTAACTATCAAGTGAGCGACTTCTGACTCTATTCTTAGTATGTAAAATCAATTAAGAGTTGGCTTTTTCTCTAATATGATGAATTTATAATGTGAAAATTTCCAAGGAGGGCAAAACACCCCCCTTGCGCACCAGCAGCCGCTTCTTCCATTTCATTAATATCTGGAGTGGTTTTGCAGCACTTTATATTCTCTTTAAATCTTAATTAAAATATCATTGTATTAAAGTCGTAAACTACTGAGCCTCAGTGGTTTCTACACAGATCTGTTTTAGAGACATTATTTTAGGTCTCGATTAAAGGAATTGGTTAACTGATGAAGCGAATAGATTGCCATAACCTATATTGTAGTTAAACATAAGTAAATAACTAGGTAAAAATGTTACTATCCGTTTATTTAAACATAATTTTCACCAAAATAACCAAATTAACGGACGCTTGTCCAGCACTGCACACCATACACCACGCCACGAGATGACCTAATGGAGACGATGGGAATAGACAAAGACAACGCACGACAACCATAGAATGGGGGTAGGGTCACTCAACAATGAGGACATTTACTCCGACTTAGCTACAAGTGTACGAAATACGAGCTTATCTGCAGAATTTATTTAACGGGTTCCTATATTTGAATGAAAGTACTCAGTTTTAGTTCAGATATTATCACAAATGAGTAAAATTATCAAAATGCTCAATATTGATTGAAAACGTACTCAATAATTTTACACAATGGATTGCTTTTACTCACACACATTTTTTAACAGTGTTGGATTATTCTGTGTCCGCCATAATATTTTCAAGTGTTCCTTTAGGATGCCACTAAACCAAAAACAGTTGGCTAGAGTAACTAGAAAAAGAATTTAATTCAATGATTGAAAGCTTTTTTACAGAAAAAAAAATTAAATATAAGAACTGCAAATAATGCTTGGAAAAATAGTTAACAGTAACTAAATATATAAAATTTCTATTAATGGTATAACTATTTTTCATTTATAACTAATGGATATTTTTTCCTTCTCTTTTGTTCTCTTTTTGATTTGGCATTTTAGATGGGCATCACAAACGCAAAGTACTATTTAGCATTTCATCAAAGTTTTTTTTCGCAAAGAAATATAATCAATAGATATTTTTTCCTCAAATTTCGTACATAAGTATTTTGGAGAACACAGAATAATCCCATGGTGTTATTTTTTTAATAATAACATTCTTAACACGTTTTTCTGAAAAATGCATCCTAGTCAGCCAGGCAATGGAAAACCGATTGTTAAATGACAACTTTCGGAACTCTATATCCATAAAAACTAGTAGAGTCCAACTTGTCATTATGAGTTTAGAATTACTGCATCATTTTGTTTATTAAGTAATTGAAGTATTGACCTGATTTCACAAATTCTCGGCTTCAGATTATAATGAAATCATGATAATTTTAGTTCCAAGGAAGGATCATTACTAAAACTAACTATATTAGAAAATATATGTAATTTTATAAAAATACCATAAAATATGCACTGTTAAATCTTTAAGGACACTATTTTGAGATTTGTTATACCTTTCTTCATGAAAATCTTAAAAAAACAAAACATTCCGTTGTAGGCGATCCTCTTTTATAATACACGTAGTTTATTGTTAATAACTGAAAGTTATAAACAACTGTCACTTTTTACATAACCTGCCATATATAATTTCGCTTTTCCATATTATTCCAGAGTACAGACAAAAATAATTCTGCTGCAGCATAAAAATGTTAGGTTAATAATATACCTGTACTATATCTTATTACTTGTATAATTTATTGCAAAAATATTGTGGGAAATTTTTAAGTAAGTGTGCAGTTTAGTGTCGGCTTCTATGTTAAGGGAAATTAATAAAGATTTGACTTAATTTATTAGTGGTTTGTGATATGTATATATAACGGAGATAATGCCTGAACATATGCCTAGGTTTATTGAGGTAATGTTTAAAGGCATTTTCTCGTCCCCTATAGTGGGAGGGAATGTAATATGTAGTTTTAGTTTAAATTACCTAAACGAAATAAAAATAATCCCCTTTTACATAAATATGTCAATTATAATCATCTGCCAATTAAATTTTAATTTTCTGTGGAGCTGTAACACTTGTAAACTGATATATTCCGGTTTTAGTTTTAATTAATTGAATTAAAAAATTCTATCGAATGTGATAAAATTCAAGTTCGGTCTTAAAGATTAAAAAAATATATATGTATAAGAGCTGATGATATAATATCATGGAGAATTTACTTCGAGCCGGTTATATACTGACTATTTCTTTCCAAAAGGATTTGATGAAATGACGTAATGTGCTTTGCGGTTTATCTGCCTCAATTGATCAATCACGTTCTGAGTAATTTATTGCAACTGTGAATCTTAAAACTCTATATGAACTCACTTGTTAGATGGAAATTCTTTTAATAGGTATTTGGTGAAATGCAGATGAAGCATTCTTCTTCGGAAAACACTTTTTGAATCGCGTTTTTGTAGTGATAACTTTTCTCGCAGACTTTAAAAGGATCAGAGTATTTATTGCAACTCAGAATCTAGTTTTGAAGAAAGTATGAAATGCTTTGGCTTTTCGTATTCATTGCCTGATACTGTTAGAATTTAGTTTATGGGCAATTTGTTTTATATTTTCTAATACAGTATTTCATGTTTTAATTTCGAAATGAGGTACATTCAAAATTAAAACGTAATTTTGTGAATGTTAACGTTAAACGAACTTCTGAATTGTAATTTTACGCGATACAGGAAATAGATCCACATTTCGATGAACGTAATTATCTTCAGCAAATTGCCATCAAATTTAGAATTGTTTATTAATTATATTCTAATATATAATTATATTCCAGTTCGATGTTACCCTCTGCAAACATTGACTGTTCAAAATTCCATGATTAATCTAATCGCTTACTTTTTGAGGTGTTTTAATTACTGTACCTGACTTTCTAACGGTTAAATAGCAAATAGAAAATAGCACGAAATTCTGAAATATTATTTGCGTTATACTATATTTTGCAAGAGATGAAGATCCTATATGTTCGTTTTCTATTCACATATAATTTGTGTTCAGATTATTTAAAAACAAATCTTTACACAGCAAATTATTATTATTTGATATATTATCAAATGAAATGTTATCACTTTATTTAAATTTTTTAAGTATTTTTATTCATGTGCAAAAAATGTTCCAGCAAAAGAAAATAAAAAATTTGACACTTCTATTTTCGTTTTTAGTTACGAAAATCGTCTCAAAAAATACATATACTTTCGTATCTAAAGAGAAAAGTACCAGTTTCATAACGGCTAAGTTGTAAGAAAATCACATTTTACATATGTAAATAGAAAAAATTGTGATTAGTGGTGTTGGTTTTTGTTAATTAAAAGGATACTATTCAGCCTTTGCGAAAAATCGGGTATGTTAGCAAAAAAACAATTAAATCTTTTGCATAATAAAGACAAGTTTCAGTCTAAAAAACATATTAATGCGTTTAATCGCAATTTATATTGGAGACACGATTGTCTTTGAAGTTATATTTTATTGTATGATTTAATCTTAATATTTTTTTATAAATATCTCAAGAAATTATTTTTTAATTATGATTGTACTTATTGGTTTTGATTAACAACAGCTGTTGCAATGATGATTTCAATCAAAGGATTAATTAATAGCTAATATTTCCTTGTTCAGGCAGGATCTTTTGGAGATATTATTACAAAAAATATAATATCGTCTTAGTCACAGATTAATAAAAATGATTAGTAATAATAATAGTTTGTCTATTTGCAATAATTAGTTTAATGCTTTATCATCTATGTCACTTTTACATGTCATTAAGTAAAATACTACATTTTGATTTTCACTTTTGCTGCGACATACATTTCAAAAACTTCAAAAACATTTATTCAGTAATAATAGCAACTTAATAAGTGCAATAAGTAATAGATGTGAAAATATAATATTTAAGCAAACGTTTCTTACGTGCCAGATGAAACTATGTCAATTAACTGCTTAGCCATTGTTAGCAGAAAATAATAATGCATTTAAGTGTTAACAGCAATTTCGTGATTCAGTTACAGACAATGCAACAAAGGTTTCTTTCTAGTTAGCAATAATTGTCAACGTGCTGCTTATTGTTCTCTACAGTTTCGTATTCATCCTTTGTTGCAAAATGGTACAGGTCATTATTTTTTCTTCAGACATTTGAGGAAGCAAACTTTATATTATC